TCTTCTTTCTCTCTCTCTCTCTCTCTCTCTCTCTCTCTCTCTCTTTGTGTGTGTGTGTGTGTGTGTGTGTGTGTGTATGATTTTGACAGAAGGTGTATGCACTCACCAGAGAGAGATGGAAAAAAGAGAGAGAGGGAAACTGAGGAATCCCACCCCCTGGGGGGATAGCCACACTACAATCCCTTCTCCTCTATTCTCCCCTTAGGATTTCGGGCACACACATGTGCCCTGGTGTGTTTATCAAGCCTCTGGGTTCAACATTTGGACTGCAGAGTTAGCCATGTGGGGTCCAGCGCCTTAACCTCCACACCACCTGCTGCCTCATGACTGCCTCTTTGACAAAGGGAAATTAGCTTTCTAATTAACGAGCTTTTCTATTAGCAGGTTTGTAAGGTTAAAGAAAAACCTCAACGCCAATGCAGTTTTCCATGGCTGTCTTTGTTGCCCCCAAGACCACTGAGCGTGAAGATGGAGCTGGGTCGTTGGCTCCTATTCTTCATCAAGACCTTTTGTGCTTTGGGGCTGAACATTGCAGAAATTACATCTTGTCCAACTGTTAGAGTGAAGATTAACGATTAATTTTTAAAACGCATATTAGTTGGTGAAACAACGATTCCAGACAAGTGTGTGGGCCGGAGCTGCTGGCTTGTTGCGTAGTGTGCCAATTTCCACATAGGCAGTTTGCACACACTAGGGCTTTATTGCAAAAGATTTCAACCGGGAGAGTGATCGAGTCCAAGACTCTAAAGGACCAGCTCCACCATGGAGAGGGAAGCAGGCCAGGGGATTAGCAGTTGGCATAATGGTTATGTCACTGGACTCCCATGTAGTCAACCGCTGTTTGAGTCCCGGACCCGGTGGCTTAAACTCAGGCCGGTGCGTGTGCGTGTGTGCCCAAGATCCCGAGAGGAGAATGGAGGAGAAGGGATTGCGGTGTGGCCATCCCCCCTGGGGGGTGGTTTCTCACTTTCTGCCTCTCTCTGTCTTTCTGGCGAGTGCATACGCCCTATAGCAAAAACCTCTCCAAAAAAAAAGAGACAAGCCAGGGATGTGATGGTGTGAGGGCCTGGGGTAGCAACCAAGGGCTTTCCGGAAAAGTTCCAATGATGGATGGTGCAGTTCCAGTGATGGATGGTGCAGTTCCAATGATGGATGGTGCAGTTCCAATGATGGATGGTGCAGTTTTCTTGGCGTCAGGTAGTCTTAAAGCATCTGGAGCAAGATGTTATTGTCAGGTCTGTTTTAGGTAAAGAACTCAAGACAAAGAACTTCTAGGACACCTGGGTCTCTTCAGGCTTGAACCGCATACTACTTATAATTGTGTCTTACAACAGTTAAAGTAAAGGCCACCACAACGTGGTCACTGAGGGACCGTAATCAGAGTGTGCAGAAAGTGTTGACAAAAGCTCATTGTATTGTTTAATATAAATTACTTACGACGCTTAGGCCTATTTCCTTTTTACCTGGTAAATATTTACGACTGGGACCAGTAGTTGGCGTAATGGCTATGTCGCTGAACTCCATGCAGTCGACTGTGGTTTGAGTCCTGAACCCAGTGGCTTAAATTCATGCCAAGCGCGTGTGCATGCGTGCCCAAGATCCCGAGAGGAGAATGGAGGAGAAGGGATTGTGGCATGGCCATCCTCCCTGGGGGGTGATTTCTCGCTTTCTGACTGTCTCTCTGTCTTTCTGGCAAGTGTACGCACCCTATAGTAAAAACCTTTCCAAAAAAAAAAAAAAAAGACTAAACGAAGAGAATTTATTATTTTTTGAAGAATTATTTAATTTATTTATTTTTTGATTTATTTTAATTTGACTAGAGAAAGACAGACACGGAGAGAGAAGGAGAGTGAGAAAACAAGTCACAAGGTCCAGGACTCAAATTGCAGTTGGCCATATGGGAATCCACACCTTAACCACCACGCCACCTGCTGGCCCCAAGAGATGTAGTTTTTTAATCTCATGAGTGACTAATCTGGGCCCAAAACCGGGTTCAGCCATGTGGCAGTGTCTAGTGCCTTAACCACCATGCCACCTGCTGGTCCCAAGTTTTTTATTTTTATTTTTATTTATTTATTTATTTATATTTTTTAAGAGTTTAATGAAATTTTATTTTGAAAATATGGCAAGAGTCTAAGGCACTTCAAACATTTAAATAGGAGTGTCCAGCACCTTAACCACCATGCCACCTATTTTAAAAATTTTTTAAAGAATTATTTCATTTAACTTTATTTATTTTTAATTAGACCAGAAAGGGACAGAGTAGGGGGGAGAGAGAGAGAGAGAGAAAGTGAGAAAGCAAGCCGCCCAGTCTGGGACTCAAACCACAGCCAGCCGTGTGGGAGTCCAGTGCTCTTAACCACTATGCCACCGGCCGGTCCCAAGAATTTATTTATTTATTTATTTTTTTGAGGGACTGGTTCTTTATTCCAAAAAGACACTTGTCAATATTCAGTATCAAAACAGTTGCACTATTGGTTTTCTCCCAGTCGGCCCCAAAGAGACCACACCAAAGGAGAGTACAATTTAAGCCTATAAGCTGCAGGATCGGCCTGCCTTACTGGGAGCCAAACAGAGCCCAGGGCAAGACTCTGCTGCAGGAAACCTCTTCGCTCTGTACAAAGTGCCAGCTAAACCAGAAGGACGATTTCAGGAGGAGTTAGCCAAAAACACAAAAAGTGCTGTTGT